AAATTCAGATGCTTGGCAACTGGCTCGTATTTATGACGGTTGTGGTGTCCCGGGGTCGTGTGATCACCTTTTGCCATCTTCTGACAAGCAAAGTCAATGGGGAAGCCGGATTCACTTAAGAACTGTGTTACTAACTTAACAACTGCAGCGATTCACTTAACAACCGTGGCAAGAAAGGTCGTAAAATGGGGCAAAACTCACTTAATAAATGTCTCATTTAGCAACAAAAATTTGGGGCTCAATTGTGGTCATAAGTCGAGGCTTACCTATAGTGTACTTTCTGTAAGGACTCATGGACCCACTTCATAACATCTCACCTGATAAAATACCCGGGAAACACTGAGCTTTTCTATGTACAATTGCTGTTATCAGGTCAGTACAGTCATTTCTTTGAATATAGCTTCATTTTGGTATACTGCCTGCAACATTAGGTATTTTGACTGTCCAACGACACCACTAATTGTAATATATTATCTTGTCTTTTAAATGTTTCTTATCTGTAATGCTGGTGACTATAATAAAAAATATTATTATTATTACTACAAGAGGGTGGGTACAGTACTATAATCCAAATCCCACCCCATTTTTTACGTGTATGAGATGTCAACAAATGTATAAAAGAGGTGGAGCTTGGATCAATATGTCTTGCCCGCCATCTTGTAGATTTTGATCCCCATCTGGATGCCACTAGGTTTAACCCTATATTTCCTCTACTGTAATTTGTTAGTTGCTTTGACCCTTTAACCGTAACCCTACAGTCTAATATTTATTTTAATCTTACAGCTTAGTGTTAAGTGAAGTTTTCCAAATCTGCCCTTTTCTGTTCTGGAAATTATAATGTTTGTCTTTTTCCACAGTTGAATGAAGGATTCCTGAAAGTCACTATGGATGGGCAGTTCTAGAAACCAGAATTCAGAATAAGTAAATAAACTCAAACTCGGGCTGATAGGTAGTCCTTTATTATAAAACTCATGCTGTAATTTCTCTTGCCTTTCAAATGCTTTCGCCTTGGAAATAAGATTTTAAACAATTTCTATAACAATTATAATAATACATCTGTGTATATTTATATATGAAATTACAAAAAAATCTTTGTTGCAAGCATCAGAACAGAATTCCCTATTTGAGCAGACATAAAATCACAAATTTCATTTAAAACTTCTCTTGTGAATCAGGCAGAATGATTACAAGGAGTCCTCACATACCGAGCATAACTGGGATTGGCAGCAAAATTGCTAAGTGCTGGGGCGACTAAATGTAATTTCATGTGATTGCACCAGAGTATGTTGTTTTTGTTTCCATCGTTAAGCGAATCACTGTGGTTAAGTGAGACATCACATGACTACGACTTGCAATTTCACTTTCACGTTTCCGTTAATTCTGCTTGACTGAAGTCAGTTGTGAAGCTCGCAAATGGTGATCACAAAGTGGGGGGGGGGGGNGGGGGGGGGGGGGTGTAGCGCTGCAACCGATGTGATTGTGAAGATTAGTGCAAAGCTGTTTTCCCCCAGTGGTTATAACTTTGAACAGTCACTAAACAAGGGCATCAGTAAACGAAGACTACCTGTATATTGGGAGAATGTGTATTTGCTTCTACAGGAATGACCTGAGAACGGGAACAATTTTCTTATACTGCAGTACAATCCCAAACTGAACATTAAGGATTTGTCCTCAGGCGGGTTAACACTTCTGAAAAGTAAAAGAATTTTTTTATAACAATTGAAAATATTTTCATGTGTATGTGTATGTCTTTTTACCCATTTCTAGTCAATCTAACCTTTGAACTGGATCTGGGGTTTTGTTTTTTTTTACTTCAGGTGAAATGCTAAGGGAGAGACAAAAATAAATAGAACAAGATGGGTGAAATTTCACATAATCCTTGCACAATAAACCACTTTCCCAACATATCTGGAAGGTACCAACTCAGGGCGATTTGTTATGCTAATTCTTAGGGTCAGGGGAGTTTGACTTCAACACAGAGAGAAGAGACCCATTAAGGGTTGTCCTCCTTAGATTTATAAGCAGGTGAATGCTAGAGACTTCCATGGGGTCCTTTTCATGGATGATGCAGGTATAGGGACAAGTAAACCACTTTTCTTAAGTGCCTTTGTTGTGCTTTGATCTGAGTCCTTCTCTTTAAAGATGCTCCCTGGAAGCATTTCTAAAACAGGAGAGAAGTAGATAAAGCAGCTTTCTGTTTTTGTATCTTTACACCTAGAATACAGGTAGTCCTTGATTTATGACCACACTTGGGACCGGAACTTCCACGCTAAGTGAGGCAGTTGCTTAGTGAGTTGGGCTCAATTTTACAAGCTTTTTTGTTAAGTGAATCTGGCTTTCCTCACTGGCTTTGCTTGTTGGAAAGTTTGCAAATGGTGATCACATGACCCCGGGACATTGCAACCATCAATAAATACATGCCAGTTGCCAAGAGATCAAAGTTTGAGCCTGTGACTGGGATGACATTGCAATGGTCATAAGTGGGAGGACCTACCCATACATGATGCAAGCAAGATAGAATCAACACTGGCTTACCACCTTTAAAATATGTGATCTAATAAATACTCATTATTATCCAAAGAGTTTTGCCCCTAAGGCTATTCAGTACAAGGTCAAAATTAAAAATGTGCAGATGTATGGATTGATAAAACATTGTGCACACACACACAAACACATTTGCACACCCGCGGTCCGAGTCGTGATTAGAGATGGAAAAGAAGTTCAAGAGCTAATTCCCGGTTGTGAAAACTGTACTTTTTCTGAGCCATGCAACTTGATGGTCATAGAAAATACTGGAAAATATTTCATTCAGAATGCATCTCTGGAAAGTAATGTAGAAAAACGCAATAGGGGAAATTGCTTGCAAAACTTTATACTTTGTACATTTGCAAACAAATGTGGATGTTCAAAGAAATTTAACAAATAGTGTATTTTTTTTTAAAAAAAAACCTCAACATTGTTTGGAAGTCATAAAGTTTTCAAATAAAAAAACAGAAAAATGAAAGACAGAAAATGTCAAATAAAATTGACCGAATTATAAAAATGAGCATCAGAGAAACTGAAAATTACAGTCTATTTTGATTTTGTCTTATGTATCCTAGCAATATATAATTATCTGCACATATACAGTTTTTAAAAAATGAAGATTGCTGCTCTATGTATATCGTGATTCTATTTGTGTAGTATTTGGAAATGCTACAGTGGATTGGCAAAACACTACACAAACATAATCAATATAGTGGCACATGACATTAATTTTTTTAAAAAAGCATTTTATTTTATGTCCATATATAGTAGGAAGATTGATAATACGGAGGAAAGGTGGATGAATGAAAGCATTTGAAACTATGGTTTATACATGAATTTTTTTTAAAAAATGGAAATTAAATTGCATGTGACTCAGAATTCTATTTGAGCAGTATTTGCCTTGAACATTTTTCAAATAATAATAAAACATAATAAAACATACAGGGCTTTCATACATACACACTCCATGTCACATAAAGAAGTCATTCCTGCAACTAAAACATTTTTTTTTAAAAAAACATGGATAATAGTGTTACATCTGAATCAGTAATAAATTTTCTATGGCAGAAAAAAAATGACCACCTTATTACTTAGAATAAAAATAAGCTAAAGTGATGTTACAATGAAATCATAGCACCAATTATTGTTACTCTCAGTTGCAAAGCTAGGGATTAAAGTGAGTGATAAGGGGATGGAAAAATCACAACAAATATCATTGAGACGTGCACCTTCAAAAGAAATCTACATTTGGCACAGATTCAAGGTATTAGCAAACAAATTAAAAACCAGATAAACAATTACCGTAGGATCTTCCTTTCCCCATATACGTATTTTGGCTGCTAAAATTCACTTTGTGCTAATAAAAGATTGCGACTGAACATTTTATATTTGAAAAAAAAAAACACTACTAGAATTCCTTATGCCTGTTCCAATGCACGTAAGGAAATTGGGAATATAGAATAACAGAGTTGGAAGGGACCTTGGAGGTCATTCATTTGTTTTTTCCCTTCTTTTACAAAGCTAAAGCAAGAACAAACTCACAAACCAAGTGGATTTGATGAGATTTCTTGTGTTACATAGAAGAAAAAATATCAATGATTTCTGTTCTACGGGATTTTTCAACCTTGGGAATTTGAAGGTGTGTGGACTTCAACACCCAGAGTTCTCCAGCTGGCCATGCCAGCCAACCAGCCAAGTACTGGGATTGCATGCTGACTGAAGAATTCTGGGAATTGAAGTCCACGCATCTTAAAGTTCTTAAGGTTGAGAAACACTTTTCCCTGCCTCCAGAAGCGGTGAATGCGCCAACCCTGGAAGTTTTTAAGAAGAAACTGGACATAGGTATGTCCGAAATGGTATAGGGTTTCCTGCCTGAGCAGGGGGTTGGACTAGATGACCTCCAAGGTCCCTTCCAACTTTATCATTATTATTATTATTACCCTAATCCGTAATCCTGCCAAAGGCTTGCCTGTAAGGCAGCACTACATATGAGGAAATTTCAGGCACTGCTTTTGGGGGCAAAATCTAAAACATGTAGATGGGGTGCTGGTGACTTGAATTTCCTTCCCTGTTGGGCAGTGGGGGTTTATAGTTACGATAGTGCAGTTGGCCAGCAATCATGGTACCCAGCTGTGTAATAAAATAAATACAAATGTTTAGCATTTCAAGTAATGCGCTTAAATGTGCTTTCCCATCCATTCTGTCTCCTTCCTGCCTCTGTGTAGTACATCCTAGCCTGATATGCCACTGTCTGCCTCAGTGCACGTTTCAGCAGTGGTTTAATAGCGGTCCTTAACCAATGGGGGAGATAGATATTTTCTTTGGCTTCTGGAAGCACCAAAGCCTATGGTGCCGGCTTTTTCACTGATGATCTTGGGGGAAAGAGCAGGTGGAGGTGGGGAAAGGGTGCAGCTGACTCTTCCCCTCCTGGGCCTTTCCAGTTTTCCTGCAGTTCCAAAGGGACACATATCCGTTTAATGGCCCTGGCAGGTTTTGCAACACATCTGTCGGAAGTATGACCGACTACAGAACTTAGCTTTCAGCACCAAAGGGCAATAGGCAACCTTGTTGACATCTTTGCATTCTGGAGAAGGAAAGGGAGAGAAGGAAAGAGAGACAGAGAGAAACAATGAATTAGTCATTCTGATAGAAGAGAATATTTGTAGCACGGGGTTGAACTGTGGAGTCCTTGGTGCTTTCTGTGGTTGTTTGGTTGCAGACATTTTATTACCCAACAAGATGATTTCATCAGTGTGAGTGAGAGTGGGAACTGCTGTCTCTTTATATATGTAGTTGGATAATTTTCCTCAATAAATTATATAATATTAATATTAATATTAATATTAAAGTTGGAAGGGACCTTGGAGGTCATCTAGTCCAACCTTCCCCGCAGCCCTAAAGGAGGCGGTGGTGAGGCCCCTCCTTAAGAAGCCCTCCCTGGACCCAGATGTGTTGGCAAATTATCGTCCAGTCTCCAACCTACGCTTTGTGGCGAAGGTTGTTGAGAGTGTGGTTGCACGGCAGTTTCCCCGGCACCTGGAGGAAACGGTCTATCTGGACCCTCTCCAGTCGGGCTTCA